TTAAAAACTTTTAGACATAGGAGAATATCTTTATGATTTCAGAGTATGATGAGATTTGTTAAGGCATAAAGTCAACTGAAAAAGAAAAGGTTTTTCTTTTTCTTTCAACTTTCAACTTCTTTGAAAGTTAATATAAAAGAAGATAAATTCAAGCCAAGGACTGAAAGAAGATATCTATAATAATTTAACAATGGATCAGGAAAGTGGGTTAGCAAACCTTGGCCAGCAGTTCAAATCTGGCCCACTGTGCACTTTTATACTGCTGTCAAGCTAAGAATGCTTTTGTTAAAATTAAATTTTTATTTTGAGATAATGGTAGATTCACATAATATTCTAAGAACAATCCAGAGATCTGTGTACTCTTTTCCAGTTTCCCCCAATGGTAGCATCTTATGAAACAATGTCCCAACCCAGATATTGACATTGTTACAGTCAAGATACACAGTGTCTTATTTTTTGCTTTCTGTTTGTTCTATGTTTTGTTTCTCTGTTTCCCTGAGGCTTACTTGAACATTATTTTGAATTTCATTTTTATTTATCTGTAGTGTTAAGTATATCTCTTTGCATATCTTTAAAAGTTGCACTATCTGTTACATTATATTTCCATAACTTATCCTAGTCTAATGTTGACTTTACTGGCTGAGTAAAGAGTGGGAATCTTAACATCTCTACATCCCTTTACCCTTCCTGTTTTATAATGCAGTTGCAGTTGAAATTAAATATTCCCTCTGTGTACATTTAGAACCAGAGTGTTAAAATTTTTGCTTCAACTCTCAAACATAATTTAGAAAACTGAAGAGAAAGAAAACATGTTGTATTTGTTCATATTTTTTCTTACTTTTCTGATGTTCCAAGGTTCCTTCTTTTATCTTTTCCTTTCTGTTTAGAGAACTTCCCTTGGCCATTCTTTTAGGGGAGGTCTGCTGGTAACACATTATTAGTTTTCCTTCATCTGAGAATGTTTGAATTTCCCCTTCATTCTGAAAGAATATTTTTACTAGATACACAGTTCTTTTAACACTGGAAAAATATTGTGCCACTTCCTTCTGGCATCCATGGTTTCTGATGAAAAATCCGCTGTCAGTTACATTGTTTTTCCTCTTAAAGGTAAGGTGGTGTTTTTCTTTGATTGCTTTCAAAAATTTTTTTTCTTGGTTCTTAGTTTTCAGAAGTTTAATTAGGATGTGTCTTGTCATGGATTTCTTTGTGTTTATGCTGTTCTGCATTCACTTGCCTTTTTGCACCTGTAGATTTTTTTCAGTCTACTTTCTTTTGGTTTAGATTGTGCAATTTGTATTGTTCTACCTTCCGGTCACCGGTTCTTTCCTCTAGCCCCTCCATTCTCTTGTAGAATTTATCTACTGAGCGTTTTATTATATTTTTCAGTTTAAAATTTCCATTTTTAAACATCTCCTATTTCTTTGCCGAGCGTTTCTATTTTTTCATTCGTTTTCAGGGTGCTTGTGATTGCTCAATGGAAGCATTTTGTCGTGGCTGCTTTAAAATGTTTGTCAGATAATTCCACCGTCTGTATCCTCTTGGTGTTGGCGGGTATTGATTGTCTTTTTCCATCGAGTTTGCAATTTTCCTGGTTCTTGGTATGGTGAGTGAGTTTCACTGGAAACCTGGACATTTTCGTGTTAGATTATGAGACTCTGGATCTTATTTAAACCTTAGGAGGTTTTTAGCTAGCTTTCTCTGACACTGCTCCAATAGGGAAGGAGAGTGCTGCCCAGTTACTGCCAGGTGAGGATAGAAATTCGCTTCCCCACTCAGCCTCCTAAGGTAGTGGGGGCTCCTTGTTACTGCTAATTCCAGTTTGTGGTCTCCATGGACATCCTGGTGCAGGTGGCTCTGTTGCCACTAGGGAGATTCCTGACTCCCCACTAGACCTCCTCTGACACCACCCCAGAAGGGAGAGGGTGGGGGTCTTATTTCTGCTCGTGGGTGTGGAAGTCCAGGCTTCCCAATGGTCTCTACTGACACCCAAGCGGGATGGTGGTGGGGACGGGGCTAGTGTCATTTCTGGCTGGGAGGATGAAATTCCTAGCTGCCTACTTGGCCTTCTGTGGCACCATTGGGGTGGGGGTGTTGGGCTGACTCATCCCAGCCCCGGGAGGGTACAGGTCTCGGCTCCCTACTCTGTCATTGCTGGGGTGTGTGGAGGTGGGCTCACTTGTTTTTGGTGTTTAGCTGGAGCAGAGGAGTTGTCTAAGTTTTCTGTCTTGCTAGCCTGCCCGTTTTCTGGTGCTTTGGCTGGAGAGAGTAGGCTTTTTTTCTTCTTCTTCTTCTTTTTTTTTTTTTTTTCTGTGCCTGTGGGTGTTTCTGGGTTGCTGGCCTCTTTAGTTCTAAGTCTGGGATCTATAAGGCAAAAGGAAAACCCAGAGAACTTACCACCATGTTGTATGTTGGATCCTGGGGTCTCTAGCCAGCCTGCCTCCTTCTCTCCACCTCTCAGTCATACATTTATTTTATATATAATGTCCAGGGCTTTGAGTTGTACTTAGCAGAAGGAATAGGAAAAAGTATTTCTGTTTCATCTGCCCAGAGTAGAAGTTCTAAGAATGGTTTTTATATTTTTAAATGGTTGGGGAAAAAAAAAAAACCAAAAGAAGATTTCATGACACATGAAAATTATATGAAATTCAAATTTCAGTGTCCACAAAGCTTTGTTAACAAATAAACAGCCTCAGCCATTTGTTTAAAGATCACCTGTGGCCCCTTCTGCACTGTAGCAGCAGAGGGGACTGGTTGTGACAGAGATTGCATGGCCCCCAAACCTAAAATAGTTCCTACCTGGCCCTTTGCAGAAGAGGTTTGCCAATTCCTAGATTCAGATCTAGAATATGTTTTTTAAAAAACAAAAATACAAAACACAGCAAAAACTCCTGGAAATCGGTGAAAGAAGGAAACCACCTGATAGAAAAATGGGATAGAGGCCGGGCGTGGTGGCTGACACCTGTCAGTCATCCTAGCACTCTGGGAGGCCGAGGAGGGCGGATCATTTGAGCTCAGGAGTTCGAGACCAGCCTGAGCAAGAACGAGACCCCGTCTCTACTATAAATAGTAGAAAGAAATTAGCCAAAACAACTAAAAATAGAAAAAATTAGCCAGGCATGGTGGCACATGCCTATAGTCCCAGCTACCAGGGAGGCTGAGGCAGGAGAATCATTTGAGCCCAGGAGTTTGAGGTTGCTGTGAGCTAGGCTGACACTATGACACTCTAGCCTGGGCAACAGAGTGAGACTCTGTCTTAAAAAAAAAAAAAAAAAAGGGATAGAGCTAGGAATAGGCATTTTGCAGGTAAGGATGAGTAAAGGACAGGAGGGCCACATCCTCAGCCTGGGACCTTTCCCATTGCTTACCAAGGAGGGGCTGTTTCTGACAACACTGAGGCACTTGAGGTTTTCCATAATCTCCTTCCAATCAAGGCAGACACCTCTGAAGCTACTGCTTTTCACAGCTTTTCTCATCCTGGTAGAACTATCAGCACAAGAAGGTGGGAGTGGGAAAGCCCCAGACGTGATGTGCACTGTTTTTGCACAAGTGTTAGTAGTTGTTTTTTCGGTTTTTGTCTTTTTTTTTTTTTAAATAGATGTTCTCAATTTTTTGTATGCCTTTGGTCAATTTTCAGAGCCCTGAAATGGTTGCTTTTGACAATTTTGTCAAGGTTTATTATTGCCTTTTGGAGAGAGGATTTGTTGATTGACATTTCTGTGGTAAAACAATTGTAAAGAAAAGAAAGATAAAATTAGAAAATCAGCTTAGGTCGTACCACATACACTTCCAGGAAGAGTTCAGGTCAACGTGGGGGAGAAACTATCAAATGATATAACAAAATCTCCCATGGGTGAAGGATGTGAGTTTCAGATTGAAAGCAATCCGTAGTGTGCAGGATAACGAATGGGGAGATAAAAACCTACACTAAGGCACATAATAGAAATTTTTCAGAGCACTGGGGATAAAACTTTGGGAAGAGAAGCCACATTGAAGAATATGGTATCAGGTGGTGTTAATGAATTCTTTAGGAAAATAACATCTAAACCCAATCAAATCAATCGAGAATAAGGGTAGAATAAAGCCTTGTTCAGAAGTGTAGGGTCTCAAAAAAATATGTGCCTCATGTACTTGTTCTCAGAAAGCTATTAAGGAATGTGCTCCCATAAAATGAAGCAATAGCCAAAAAAAGAAGGGATCTGGGATCCAACCAGGGGAGGGACAAGAGATTTCTCAGATTGACTAAGGGAGGTCCCGGAATCCTCCCGGTGCAGCAGCCCAGGACAGAGCAGGATGGTGTGAGACTCCAAGGTGATGCTGGCAGAAAGAAAAATGGAAAATTGAGAGAAGAGGTGTTAACAAAGAGCCTTGTTGGAGGTTGTGGGAAAGCTTAGCAGTGATTCAGAAAATCCAAGTGAATGGAAAGGTTGTGTAAGAGTAAAAATAGTAACCTATACCTGGATTCAGCAGATACTGGATTCAGCATCTGCGTTGTCACTTAGTAATGAGAGCACTGGATGCTTGAGCAGGGAACTCATGGCCGGATGTCACCAATTTACAGGTTTCAGAAAATCAGCTTTATAGAAGTATTAAGTATAGTTACTGAAGTATAATTTACTTAAGATGAACCCATTTCAGGACTACGGTTTGATGAATTTTGACACATGTGTGCAGCCATATAACCACTGTCACAGTCAAGATACAGAACATTTCAGTCCCCTGAAGATTCTCCCGGGCCCCTTCCCTGTCAGTCGGTCGTCCCTCCTGCATGGCCAGCAATCATGGCCTGTGTTTCCCACTTCAGATGCGATCTGTCGTTTCTGGCATTTCCCGTGGTCATGTTGTGTGTGCTTTGTGTCGGCTGCTTTCACTCCCCGAGGGCTGCTGTGACTCGGTCCGTGTGCTTGCACCATCAGCAGTTCTTTTGTCATTGCTGAGTGATGTTCTGTTGTATGGATGTGCCACCATCTATTCGTCCTTTCACCTAGATTTAACTTTTAAAGGGATCCTCTAGCACTGACCCCAGGAGGCCGGAGTGGAAGCAGGAAGACCCATCTCAAGTGGTCCAGGTAAGAGATGAGCTCATCTCATCACACCAGCCCCAGTGCCACTCCCCAGACTCGCCAAGCACGTGCCCGCCTTAGGGCCTCTGCACCTGCCTTCTCAGCACAAAAGCCCTTGTCCCAGAGGCCTCCCTGCACTCCCGTCTCCCTTCAGCTGCCACCTCCTCAGAAGGACTTTCCCTGAGACAGCACCCTCCCCCGCCTCGTGTTTCTTCATCGCTGCCATCCCGTGTTCTTTGTGTGCGTGTCGAGTGTTTGCTGCCCCCACCAGCCTGTGAGCGTCGTGGTGGCCGTGTCTGGAATGCAGGCATTTTATGAGTAGTATTTGTGGGGCGGCTGTATGCGGGCTCCCTGGGAACAGGGTCTGCGTCTTTCCTCTTTGTCATTTTGTGCCTGGCTATAGAAGGGCAAGACGTATCACCTGGATGATTAAAGGATGAGAGGGAAGCAGGCGAGGGAGGCTGCAGGTGGAGAAGCTTCTCCCCGGAGCAGCCCAGCGTCTCCTGGTGTGTGCAGGGGACAGAGTGGATCGTCCCTGCCCCGGGCCTCTGGCCACTGACATTTGCCTGCCTCGGTTCTTCTCTCCCGCAGCTCCCTCTCGCCGCAGCGCGGCTCGGGAGCAGGCGCAGCTCCCCGAACACTTGCCCAGCTGGTAGAAACGTCCCAGAACAAAGTGAGGGGATAATTAACAGCTGTCCATTGATCTGGGCACGAGGGTAACTGCGCTCGTAGCTACAATAGGGCTTAATTAAAACCTGCCGCTTTGGCAGCTCTTGCGGCGCTGCCTTGATCTCTGCAGCTTCCGTGTGGCCACTTTCGTATTACAGGCGCGTCCTGCAGTCCCAGGTTTGTTGGCAGGTGATGTGCCTGCTGTGGTTGTTGGGTGGTAATTATGTAGATTTTCCTCTGGAACTTAGTTTCACAGAGTGTCAAAATGGACTTGTTATATTTATCTCTTAAATCATTAGGGAATAATAATTAGACCAAAAGTGGTTTAAAATGTTTCTGTATTAATAATTATTTCTAGCTGGAAACCACTGATGATAATGGGTTTGCGGGATTGGTATTTGGAATCTCCCTGTCTTGGGAGATTCTAAATAAGAAGGCACCTTCCGTGCCTGGCTGGAGGGCAGCTTGGGCACCGTTTGCTCTCCTGTAGGCAGAGACAGGAAAAGCAGGAGGATGGGATGTCGCACCGCAATTATCCTTCAGTGAGACTCGCTCTCTGATTGTTTTACTGTGAGAACTCATTTAATGACAGCAGAAGGTGCTGCTAACGATTCCTTCTGCAGATGTGAGCCCCAAGTAACTCACCCAAAGCTGAGCGGCCAGGCAGTTCTGCAACCCAGACTGGAGCCCAGACAGTCTGACTCCAGGGCCCACAGTTTCAGTGCTTTGCCGTACCGATTCTAGTTTGTAAGTCCTACTGCATGTCACGTCCTCAACAGATGCTGGCCCGGCCTAAGTCCTCACGTCCGGGCAGGCGCTGTTCGTGGTGTAGAAGAGGAAACCAAGGCTATTTACCCAGGTCATTTCTTGTTTCATTCATTCATTCAACATGAGAGCTTGACCTGTACCGGGCATTTTCTAGGCCCCGGTGTTACCTCAGCGATCAGGGCAGTTGTCAGAGGACTCGTGGGATTCTTGTTCTTGTGATGCTTGTATTCCAGAGGTAGGAGACATGCAATCAACAAGAAAATTCCCGACAGTAAGAATCAGAGAATTAGAACAGGGTGACGTGCTGAGGAGCAGGGGGTCATTCCTTTCGATGGTTCTTAGGGAGGCCCCTTGTGTGGGGAAGTGACATCTCAGCTGGGATCTGAGTGAGGAAGAAGCTCAGAGGAAGGACAGTCCAGGCTGAGGGAGGCCTGCAGGTGGTGCCCCAAGCCGGGAGCCGATGGGGCAGCGGGTGGGGAGGAGGCCAGTGGGAAGGAGCTCAGGTTGAGGCCTTGCTCAGCCAAGGTGGAGACTTTGAGTTTTATGTGTAAGCACAGTGGGGAGATGTTGGAAGATTTTAATCAGGGATGTGATGTGATCTGATTTTCGTTTGTAAAAGATCACATTGTCTGTTGGCGACTGGATTGTGGCGCTGTTGCTGTCACCTGGTGAGAGACGGCGTTCGCCAGAGTGGTGGGTAAGGAGAGCAAGGAGGGGTGCGTGGACCGGGAACGTGTTGGAGGAGAGGCAGCGTGGCTTGCTGATGAGTTTTATGTAGGGATCCAGGGAGAGGTGAGTTTGGCTGGCGCCACTCTGCAGGTAGTGATGCGGTCACCCAAGGGGAGGAAGCCGGGCCGAGCAGTGCGGGAGGGTCTGTTCAGACTCGCTGGGTTTGCGTGCTCCAGCCCCCCAATAGGTGGATGTCTCCGCGTTTGAGCGGAAATCCAGAGTGATTAGGGCTGGAGATCCAGGTTTGAGAATCTGTGGTACGTTGTTGGTACCTAAGAGCATGGAACTGGAGATGGCCTTGGAGAGAATGCAGATGGCTCGAGGACCAAGTCCTGGGACATGCCAGTGTTTACTGGTTGAGCTAAGAAGGGCCGGCCAGGGAAGGAGAAGGAAAACCAGATGGTGTGGGGTCAGGGAGACCAAGAGAAGGAAGTGTTTCTGGAAAGAGGGAGTGGAAGGAATACTGTAAGTCAATTCAGAACAGGGAAGTGACTGTTGGATTCAGCCACATGAGGGTCATTGCTGACCCCGTGCAGAGCTGTCTCAGGGAAGCCCGAGAGGAGATGGACGCAGGTGTGGAAGTAAACAGCACTCAGGGCCCTTCCAGTGGAAGGAGCAGAGAAGTGTAGTAGTCAGCGGGGTGTGGGGTCAGCAGGGTCTTGCCACAGGGGTAACAGGGCATGTTTATTTGTGGTGGGAAGGGTCCTCAAGGGAGGGGTGTGCCTGCAGGGGTGACGTCCTCGCCGAGGTGAGGCGGTGCAGGCCCCATGTCAGAGTGGGAGCAGGTCCTCGAGGCCACGGTAGCAGGACGGGGCAGAGAGGGCGGATGCCAGGGCAGGGGGCGTTGGCGGTTGGGTGGTGAGTGGAGGAAGGACCCGTGGCTTCCGGTTTGCCCCATGACGCAGAGACAAGTTCATCAGGTGGGGTTTGAGTGGGGACGGTGGTTTCTGTGACAAGAGGAGAGGGCGTGAAGTAGCCCTTTGTAGAGAAGGAGAGTAGACTCACTAGGGGCTCTCGGTGGAACTTTGTGTTCTCTGGTGGCAGCTGGGTGCAGAAGTGGACAGGGGCAGATATTGGCTTTAACCAGGGTTGGGATTTCCAGGTGAAGGGCGTGGGGAGACCAGCGTGGGTAGCGGTGCAGGGCTGAAGGGAGTGGCAGGGTGCCAGCCCCATCTCTACCCACCCTGCTTCCAGTGTGACAACTGTCCCTTTGTCCCCCCCCCCCCCCCGAAAGAAGTCCTCTGGGCAGCTCCTTCTGTGGCGGTGACTGGTGACAGAGCACTCCTGGCCGCAGCCTCGCCGCCTCCCTCCCCTGCTCCTGAGCCTTCTCTTTGGGCTGGCTCAGGAAAGCAGGTGGCTGTCTCAAAAGTCCCATAAAGTCTGTGTCAGAACAGGGGCTGTCTCCAAATCTACTTGGAGTAATTCAACATCTAAATCAATAAAATAAATACTACCAGGCCTGAGTGACGCCTTTTCCTTTTCTCCCTAGGTTTCACAGCAGGCTTCTGGGGAAGGAATTGCCCAAACCGCTGGTGAGACCCCCCGCTGCCCTGCTCCCAGGCCCCTGGCCTGCGTCTGCCGCCGGCCCTGGGCACCGGCTCTTCTGCAGCTCCTCTCGGCCTTGTCCCCCGTGGGCCTGTGGTGTAGGAAGTATCCCTATTCCCTGTTGTTCCTCTAGGGTGCTTTCTTAATTAAAGAATACCATGCAGCCCCCCCTCCCTCCAGAGTTGGATCTGGAAGCTGAGAAGGGGAAGGGCGCGAGGAGGGCAGGGCCAAGGCCTCATGGGATGGACGCACCGTCTTCTGGGGGAGCTCTGGCACTCCGGGACTCGATCTTCTGCTTTCTAGCGTGTGCACAGCTCACCCCCAAGGCTTCTGTTGACCCCTGCAAGACAGAGAAGCCGAGTGCAGCCTCCTTTGCAGTTCCCATGGAAATGAGGTGAGAGACGGCAACTACGAACATTCTGTCCCCAGAGGGTGGGGCGGTGGGGGGAGAAGGTTTTCAGGAACTCCTGCGTCAGACCCGGGCTCTAGGCTGTGGCCCACACTGACTTATAAAACCGGTTTCCATTTCCATACAGTGAAGGCCCGTGACTGTGCCCTGGGCTCTTCGTGCCCGCCCTGCCCCTGCTTTGCTTTCCCTGTGGGCACCACTCTCACTGTCAGGGATGCCAGAATAATCCGTTTGACTTGAAATGCTGTAGGGCCTGTGGCCTTGTTTTTGTTTTTGGAAGCAGCAGGTTGGCCTTGCTAATAACCACGCGTGGCTCAGGCAGGTGATAGGGTTAGTGGAGCGGCAGGGCGACGTTAGGAATGTGTGCACCCTCGGGCAGGCGCTGCTTTGGGGTTGGAGGCGTAGCCTGCATTGTGGACTGTCCACACTTGCACCAGATAGAGGCTCAGAATCCACTGGCGGGGGAGTTTGCCCGTCTCTCTACAGTTTCCTGATGTGCTTTTCCCCTCCGCTGCTTCCCCTTCCTTTGCAGGGCACTGATTACTTGGGCACTTGTCTTGCCCCTTCCCCGGGGGTGGGGCACAGCCCTCCTGCTTAGGCAAAGCTTGTCCCACAGCCAGCTCAGCATCCGCAGGACCTTGTTGGTCCAGCTCGCGCCTCCTCCACCTCCTCACTCCCCTTGCTCTCCCCGCAGAGGCTCCTTCCTGGTGCTGCTGCTGCGGGAATGCTTCCAAGACCTGAGCTGGCTGGCCCTCATGCACAGCATCCACGGGGAGGTGGGACTGCTGGTGACCAGCATCGTCCCGCAGACCCCGTTTTTCTGGGCCATGCACATCACTGAGGTATAGGTTGGTGGCCCCTCGGGCTTCTGTGCCTTCTCGTGGGGCCTTCCTGGGGCAATCGTGGTGATGGGGTCAGTCAGTGGTAGAGATCCAGAGTGACCTCAGTCTGAGCCCTGCCTGGCTTCAGCCTCCTGCTCAACCCCACCTCGCAGCTTTGTTGCTTTGGGGCAGATTGGTGGAGCTAACGTAACGGGTGACATCTGCAGGTACAGATGTGGGGCACAGCGCAGGCGGTGAGGCCGTGGCGTCTGTGCAACCCACAGACTCTGCACCAGAACATGCAGGCGCTGTTCAGCTCCCTGGCAGAGGCGGAGGAGCAGCAGCCTTACCTGGACGAGTCCGCTGTGCAGCGCGGCGCCCGCTGTCTGGCAGAGTACCACCTGGGCGCGTACGGCCGCGCCTGGAACAGGTGTGTGCCCAGGCAGGGTCGGAGGGTATGGGAAGAGCTGCGTCCTCCCTTCCTCGCTTCTCCCTCCTTTGGGATCTGGTTTCTTTCCTGCTGTTGCTTCTCTCAACACCTTCTCTATTTATCATCATCTCCCCACCCAAGGAGGGGAGGAGCAAAGCAGACTGGACTCGCTGTCCCCCTGTCTCCCAGCCTCCACCCTCAGACCCTCGTGTTGAAGACTGCTGTGCTCAGCACTGATGGAACAACCCTCCTCCCTCTCCCTCCTTCCCTCTGGCCAGGTGCTGGGTGCTGGACAGAGTGAACACCTGGGCTGTGGTCATGTTCATTGATTTTGGCCAGTCGGCCACCATTCCTGTGCAGTCTCTGCGCAGCCTGGACAGCGACGACTTCTGGACCATACCACCCCTGACTCAGCCGTTCATGCTAGAGAAAGGTGAGATGTCTTCCGTCCTCTCCCCGAGGATTTCAGGGACAGGAGTTGCCTTTGCCTGCTTCTGGGACCTCAGCAGGCAGTGGCGTGGTAGGCAGCAGGGCCCGGGGTACCCTTCAGCCTCTGTTCTTTCCATCTAACCCCAGATTTCAGCATCTGCCCTTGGCAGAGCTGCCTCCTCAGCACTGGTTTTCACACCTGGGCTCTGGAGCCCCAAGATCCCTAGAGGGACCTCAGGTGCTGCCCAGGGGCCAAGTTCTCTGGGTGGGGAGAGGGGAGGACAGGCCTTCTGCTCCTGCTTCTGCCAGGGCCACTCAGCTTCATCTGTTTTATGGACTTTGAGTTTTGCTTAAGATTTCACTGGGAAAAGACTCTGCTGTGGAAGACTACCGTGTTTCCCTAAAAATAAGACAGGGTCTTATATTTATTTTTCCTTAAGAAGACACCCTAGGGCTTATTTTCAGGGGATGTGTTATTTTTTTTTAAGTACGGTACAACAGTCTACATTTATAGATCTACATCAAATATAGTTAAGTTGTCGTCTTCTGGAACATTATCATGACTCTCCAAACCCCGAATTCCATCCTCAATTTCTTACAGCTCTATTTCCTTTAGAACCATTGGCCCCAGTCTCTCATGTCGAGCAATAGAGCTCTTATGGGGCAGATGAGAAGGGCTGCTAGTCTTCTTTACCGCTCCACGATGAAATGCATGGGTTGTGCAGATGTGCTGCATAGCCATGCTCATCACTAGGTCTTATTTTCAGGGTAGGGCTTATATTACACAAATGCTTAGAAATCCTGCTAGGGCTTATTTTATGGGTAGGTCTTATTTTCAGGGAAACACGGTAGCATTTGAAAGTCAATGACAGGCTGGGCGTGGTGGCTCACTTCTGAGGCAGGAGGATTGCTCAAGGTCAGGAGTTTGAAACCAGCCTGAGCAAGAGCGAGACCCCATCTCTACTATAAATAGAAATTAATTGGCCAACTAAAAATATATAGAAAAAATTAGCCAGGCATGATGGCACATGCCTGTAGTCCCAGCTACTTGGGAGGCTGAGGCAGAAGGATTGCTTGAGCCCAGGAGTTTGAGGTTGCTAGGCTAATGCCACAGCATTCTAGCCTGGGCAACAGAGTAAGACTCTGTCTCAAAAAAAAAAAAAAAGAAAGAAAGAAAGAAAAAGAAGATTTCACTGGGAAGGGATTCTGCTGTGGAAGAAGACTAGCATTTGAAAGTCAATGACAGGCCGGGCACGGTGGCTCACACCTGTAATCCTAGTACTCTGGGAGGCCCAGGCAGGCAGATAGCTCAAGGTCAAGAGTTTGAAACCGGCCTGAGCAAGAGTGAGACCCCTAGTAAAAATAGAAAGAAATTATTTGGATAACTAAAAATATATAGAAAAAATTAGCCAGGCATGGTGGTGCATGCCTGTAGTCCCAGCTACTCGGGAGGCTGAGGCAGGAGGATCGCTTGAGCCCAGGAGTTTGAGGTTGCTGTGAGCTAGGCTGATGGCACTCTAGCCCAGGCAATAGAGTGAGACACTGTCTCAAAAAAAAGTCAATGTCAGATGCTAGAGTACTAGACTTGGGATCTTCTCCTGCTATGCTGTTCCTTTAGCTCTAGACACCTGTGAAAGCCTGTTTCCATATTCTGGAAATGGACCTTCTCAGGGTCAAGGTTAGGTGAAATGTCAAAGGATGAAGGAATACTTTGGGGGATCAGGAGGAGAAGAGGCGGTGGACACACCCACGCACACACAAAGAGGGAAAAGTATCTCCAGGGCTTCCTGGGAGGTTGGCGGGGCTTGTGCCCAGTGGGCAGGTAGCACCACCCAGAGGTCATCTTGGGTCATTGCATGAAGAGGGCCCCAGCTGCCCAGCAAGGGTAGGAACTTCAGGTGGCCCGTAGAAGAGGAGCCCAGCCTGTCAAAAGAGCCAGAGTACCAACCCAGATGTGGCCTGCTGGCAGGGGTGTGCTCCCCTCTCCTGTGGACTTGGAGACAGTACTGAGAAAGACAGGTGTATCATTTTCTCTTTTATGGATAAGGAAAATAAAGCTCAAAAAAGTGAAAGGACCTTCCTTACATTTCATAGCAAGAAAATGGCATAGCCCAGGGATAGAACCTGGGTCTGACTTCTGATAGCCAATTTCATGCATACAGACAGCTCCAGGGTGTGGGGAGGGTGGGATGGTGGGAGTTGAGTAAGGGATGATCTCTTGGAGAAAGGGTTTTTTTTGTTTTGTTTTGTTTTTAATTTTTTTTTTTGGGGGGGTGACAGAGTCTCACTTTGTTGCCCAGGCAAGAGTGAGTGCCGTGGCGTCAGCCTAGCTCACAGCAACCTCAAACTGCTGGGCTCAAGCGATCTTCCTGCCTTAGCCTCCCAAGTAGCTGGGACTACAGGCATGCGCCACCATCCCCGGCTAATTTTTTTTTCTATATATATATTAGTTGGCCAATTAATTTCTTTCTATTTATAGCAGTTCTTGCTCAGGCTGGTTTTGAACTCCTGACCTCGAGCGATCCACCCGCCTGGGCCTCCCAGAGTGCTAGGATTACAGGCGTGAGCCACCACGCCCAGCCGGAGAAAGGGTTTTGACCACCTCCCTGCTGTGCCAGGGTCCTCATTTAAGTGCTTGCTCTTCATGGGGAAACCTTTCTGCTTTTTAACCTTTGTCTCCAGCTGAACCCTCAGAACAGATTTGAGTGAACAGTTTTCTGTCCCCAGTAGAATTTCTCATTAAAGAATATAAAATCCCAAATCCCTATAATTATGTGAACAACAATGATAGTGTCTCTTCTTTTATCTGCTCTTACCGTGCCCTCCCCTCCCACCTTCTCAGCATTTCTCCTCTGGGTTCATCCTGGGCAGGACTAGCAGGACTAGCAGAGACTTGCTGGTGGGAGCGGGTTGGCAGCCAGAGCCCTTTCTCCGTAGCCCCGGCCTCTTGCTCCTCCTGCCCCACCAAGGGCTTCTGAGGTTTTGTTGTTTTGTTTTGCAGACATTTTGAGTTCATGTGAGGTTGTCCACCAAATCCTCAAAGGGAAAATCACTGGTGCTCTGACCTTGGAGGTAACTGCCCCTGGGTCTGACTTGGCTGTGCTCTCTCCACTCCCGCCCTTGGGAGCCTCCACTGCAGGCTGCTGTCCCTATTTACCTGGCCTTCCCTTAGAGAAAACAAACTGAAGTTATCCAGGGGGCTGGGTAGACTGACTGGGGGTGGTCTTCCTTCCCACTGAGATTTCCGCTTTCTCTTTCTCTTCCAGCCGCACATCCTGAAGTTTGAGTTGTTTCAGTAACGGGGCTACCCTCACATGTTCCTTCTCCTCGGATCAGGAGTCCACCTGCCCTGCCCTCTCGTTCCCCTGCACTCCTGAGGCCTTGGAAGTGAAAAGGGCCAGACTGTGCCCAGGATTGATTTGATTTCTGTTTTGCCTTTACCCCCAGCTCACCTCTCAAAAAAGAGAGCAGAGTCACGTGTCTTCAGTTCCCCAGCTTGGCATGAACATTGGAACCAAACATAGGAAGCTACCAGTAGGTTGAAAGTCTGAGGCAGCCGATATGTTCTTCCTGTGTCTCTTCTTTGCACCCCAGAGCAATGATATGAGCTGTCCTAACAGATTGTGGAGAATGGAAAGGCCCCAGACTAGTTTTCCTGGCTTCTGTGTAGAATCAGGTAGACAGCATTTAACCAATGAGCCATCACCTTGGCAAATAAATGTTGGCATGTTCCACAAGTTGGGTGACTGCTTCTTTCTAGCTGCTGCCACCCACCCCGCCACCCTCAGGGATGGAGAGCTTGCCCATCTGTGGGCTCTGGGCGTGCACACCCTGCCTGGGATGGAGATGCACTCTTGTGTGTAGCATGACCTCAGTGTTTCATTTCTCTCTGCCTCCTTAGTGACGAGAAGAAAATTGTTTCATGATGATACTGCCGCCTTTTCTATGCTTTATTAGAACCCTAAAGGTCATAAAAGGGAGTGTTAGGTTTGACAGAAAAATGGAAGGTTCTCTCAGAGTTGGTGTTAACACACCTCACAGGAATGGCATTTTCCTTTCCGTCATGTGAACATGAACCTCATTATTTCTTTAAATAATTGTATTAGAGCCAAACTATTTAAATAGTTTTATTTGTTTCATCCTTTGGTAGATGAGAAAAATACATTACAAAATACATTATACAGAGGACAGCTCACAGTACACATTACTAAAAACACAATCTACATTCCAGCCAGGGCTGGTGATAAGTTCAGAAGAAAGCCACAGAGGCCTTGAAAACCAGATTTCAGCTCTATGGAATGAATTTTCCCCTTGTGTCCCCTTGTTATCTCAACCTCAGCATATATTAGCACCCCTAATCAGGTGGGTGTGGGTAGAGTTAGAGCAGCATTGAGAGGGACTGGTGAACTCTCCATCCACCTAAAGCAGCAAGACGTTAAAATCCCTCAAAAAAAAAGGGGGGGGGGAATGACCAAAGTTAAAATTGTGCTCAAAGCATTACAGAACTCTTCTAGCATCCTACAGGCCCCCAGGCAGCTGTCCCAAGTCTGGGTTTTCTAAGACTTGGGTCTTCACGTAGCCATCCTGGCCTCTGTCATTTCAACCTTTATTACATCTGTAGGCATAGCTGGTCCTAAGAGGCTGGCTCAGCCCCTAAGCAAGCTTCCTGACAAGGAGATGCAGGCAGCACCTGCTAGATGCACAGTCATGCCCAAACTTTTACAACAGCAGGTACAGACAACACAGCACCGACAGTTCAATTGCAGTACACAGACTCCCCACTCACTTTCCTTCCCCAGCAGTTCTCAAACCTGGGGTAAGGATACAGGTGTATAGAACAACTCCCTTAAAAAGCCAACCTTTTCCAGTAGGACCCACCTTCCAATAGTGGCTTGAAAGAGTCCACAGTTCTCCAAGCCAAATAACTTCAGGGCTATGCCTACCTTCTTTTACAAAACCAAAGGAAGCAAGAGACAAGAGGAAGGTGAGCAAAGCTTACCAACGATCACCATCCACTTCTACTTAGAAGTCACTTTCTCAGAGGGGGAAGGACCAGTGAATACCGAAGCGTCGTAGCTACATAGCGTATTGCTGAGGTCAGAGAAGACCAAACGCACACTGGGAGACTGTCCCCATCCCCTCTCAATTCGTTCCAAAGGAATTCTATGAAGCAGCCTCTTGAGCCTCATTTTCTTTTTCTTAGAAATCTGAAACCATCTGTGACTAGAAGAGAAAAGTAGTCCTAAGAATTAAGATCATTTCAGCCTACTGCGTTGTGGTTTAGCAGGCCAGGCTCTGCATTCCAAGGGGAACAAGTGCTGGTTGCTCCAGAGGCCTTCCAGAGAAATCTAGGGGTGGACCAGGCGTGTGCTTCAGCTCCACGTTTTTCGTGCTTTAGCAGCAAAACGCAGCCTCTCATCTTTACCAAAGCAACAGTGGACTTGGTACCCCTCCCCCACCTCCCAAGCAGTTCAGGGGATGGGGTGGGATGTGGGAATAAAAATAAAGATGAGTCAAGACCAGCATCTTCAAATTAACAAACTGTAATTGTTTTCCCAAAGATACATTTTTTTTCATACACATCCATCATACACTGTAACCAAAAAAAGCAGTGTACATGAAATAAGAGAAAATAAATTAAAAATCCATAGCATAGGTAAGGAGGCTCTAGTCTGGAGCACAGCTGAGTTTCCAGCAATATAAGGAGGCTCGAAAGTTTCTTTTATAAGAATGCCTGCTAGCAAGGGTTCCAGCAAGGTGGTTGGTCTGTAAGTCAGTCTTGAGTACTTGAAACAGTTCTGTGTTTGTTTGTTTTTTTCCTTAGCGTTTAGAATAGCCATCATTGTCCTGCAATAGGCAGAGCTATCACGTCCAGGAAAAATGAGGGAGGGAACCACAGAGGCGGCGTGAGATCCAAATACAGCATTCAAAGGTAATTGGTCCAGTGGTGCCTGGGGAAGGAGGAAGGGGACGACACTCCATGGTTAGCCATCTTCCTTTGGGGGTGTGTACCAGCCTGCAGAGAAACAGAACAGTCAGTGAAGTGGAGGCTGAGGCCCGCCCTCCCTACCCGAAATCACTGAAGACATCTCCAGTGTCAGAGGCAAAACCACCTCAGGAAGGGTATCCAGTGCGGGAAGAGAGGTGTATGGGAGGCTGAGAAACTGCCTACCTGGAGACTGTAAGAAAGAGGGAATGATGTGCCCAACCTGAGATGACAGGAGCGTTAGATGAGCTTTCTCAAAGGGTAGTCAGGAAGGGGGGCAGCACCAAGACTATCCATGATACCACTGTTGGTGCTCTTCTGGGAGAAGCGGTTATGGACATGAGCCGCCTCCAGCCCTTTTTTGGAGAACTGGGGCAGGTGCTGTGTTAATGGGTGGTAAGGCTCAGAAACCAGAAGGTTTTGGCTAGAAGTGAAAACCTGGGGCCTGGCAAGTGTCCGAATCTCCTGAGTCCTGGCTCCAGCCTCACCGTTTTTTTCGTGGATCTGCACCAAGGACTTGTAGGACTGCTGTGCTCTTGTCAAACTGTATTGAGACTGGGGAGAGGAAGCCACCAGATCAGGCCATGGCCTGCTATGGCCTTACTGCCCCTCACCTTCTGCAGGCTGCCACCCGGAGACCCAGGAGTCCCAGGAGTCCCGACTCAAAGCATTGTGCTCTGGGGACACACTAATTACCCTCTACCTGGGAGGTCCCTTGGGGACACAATCCCCTGCTTCCTTTTCCAGACCTGTTCCCCACCCCCCACCCACAAAGTCTTAAGATGTCCCGCAGGCCAATGGCTCCCGCTCCTGTTCCCACTGTGGTGCCCCAGGACCTCTCATTCAATGCCACAAGCCCTGGGGCCTTATCTTCTCAGTCCCTCAAAGGCAGCCTTGGCCTGCCAGTGGCCCAAACCATACTTGGCTCCAGCCAGCCCCACCAGCCCCAGGCTCCTTACTTTGTTGGCTCCAAACTGTACTCGTGCTTTCCCCTTCACCAGTGTGGCACTGATCTGCATGATCACTGACTCTATGGAGTAGGCACTGCTCCAGCCCTAGGTGATGGGAGGGACAAAGCAAGTCAGGACAGAGCTTTCTGAGAAACCTCATGCTTGTTCTTCAGGCAAGCAGCTGCATCTATAGAAGGGCCCCTGCCCTCACTCCCAGGACAGCTACCACCTGTCTGCCTAGGTCAGTGGGCACGGGCCCTGCCCGGCAGAAGGAAAGGGCCACATCACGCCTACCGCCCAACCCACAGGGTGCGTGTGTGGTAAAGCTCAGCCTCGCCCCACCCAGCCCAGCCAAGGAGGAGTGAGAGGCTCACCTGTTTGGTGAGAAGTTCCATGCAGATGGCACCTCCGCCCAGAACATACCTGCATGAGGAAGGTTAGTCAGTTGTGCCTGGCAAAAACATCAAGTCCCTTCCCCACTCTCTGCCACAGGAGCTGCCCTCTTCCTCATGCCCAGCCACTCACCCTCCGGAGAGGACTGGAGACACAACCCTGACAAACGGTGGGTCAAAGGGAAAGTTATCCTGAGAAAGAGACAGAGATGACAATCAGGGAAGGGAGGCCAGTATCCTCCACAGGATTCTAAGGCAGCCGGGGAAGCCTGGGCCAGGGAGGGAAAGACTGGAAAAGAAAAGTCTTACTTTAAAGGAAAAATTAAGTAGGATGAAGTCAGCTCCTTCTTTCTCTTTGAGGATCTGGAGATCGTTGTGCAAAGCGCTGTCCTGGTCAACTCTATGAAGCAATGAGCCTGAACTCAGACTCCTGGTCCCAGCTCAGGAGCCTCACAAGGGCTCCCACTGCCCACACCCGCTCTGGAAGCCTGCAACCAACACACTGGATGGGACTGCCCTGGAGATCCCACCACAGTAGCTCCACTCACACTCCTCCACTTCCTTCCAATCCCACAGTCCCCACTCACTTGAGGAGTTTGACATTCCAATCATATAGACTGTCATTCACAAGTTCAACTGCATAGTTTCCTGGAAGCAGGGAGGAAGGAAGATGGGTGTTAGTAGGATGGTCCAGTTGGTGAGTGGTCCCAAATGCAGATCTTTGCCAAACAGAGAAAAAGCTCAACTGCTCCAGGTTAACCCCAGATGGACATGCATCCAATCCAAGCCACTGGCTTGAGGAGCTCCATTCTTGGCCTGATAAGTTCATAAGCATTCACATATCCCAGAACCTCCTGGGGCCCCTTGCTACCATATCCTTCTTTATGAGAAAATCCTGTGCAGGCCCTGCTCTGGGGCAAACTCACCACCTTTGAAACTCTGTGATCGGTATATATCCCTGAGCTCCTTCATCAGCCGGTCAGTGGCCTGCACCGAGCCAGACACTGCACCCTGTGAAGTAGAGATGGCAGGAACGTTTCTTGGTCATGTAGTTTAGAAACACACTTTAAAGGGCAGTCTGGCAGCTTGCCCAGGATTTAGGGAAGGATTAGGCACATGCAAAAGAGGAATCTACTCCCCCTACTGATATGCCATGGCCTGCCACTTTTCAGCCATTACCCACCACCCACCAACCCCTCCACCCAGCCTCTCTCCAGAAGGCACGTACATTTAAGTAATCTTGCCTCTGGTTCTTTTTAATTTTCTCTAGGATGGCCAAGTTTTCTTTTCCAATGCCATCATCTTCAGATTTCTTGCCCTCAGCTGGCTCTTCCTCTTTCATTTCATAGTGATCTAGGTCTTCTGTGTCCTAGGGGAGGTGTGGGGTGGGAGTGAAACAGAGGAGGAAAGAAACAAACAGCTTATGAAGGGCC